GGGAAATGACAGAGAAACGAAGACGAAGAACACTGCCATTGTTGGGGAACTCAACTAAAACTGGAAAAAGAAAACAATTTGTTTTTTTTTTTTTTTTTCATGTGAGCCCCACAAAAAGTGAATCTGAAAAGTGGGGAAGCAATCTAACGTGTAAAAATGCCATGGTGTCAAAAATGTCCTTGCTGGATTTACACGTCATTAAAAATGAAAAAAGCCGGTGATTTTGTGGCATTTTAACGAGCCACCTGGCGTTTAACTGACGGAAGAACCATTTTGGTACCAAAAATGAAAGTCCGAAGATAATTTTGGTACTTTTTAAAGCTGAGGGACAATTTTGGTACCAAAGTGATAAGTTGAGGGACTAAAATGGTACTTAAACCTATTTTAAAATGAAAATCACAATATTTATTAATAAAAAATTTTACTTAAGTAGTTATTAATTAACAATAAATAGAAAATTTTATTAATAAATTATTAAATCCCTATTTTATTAGATAAAAAGATTAAACCCTACTGAAGTTGAACGGGCCGGGGGAGCATTGAACAAGAGATGTATCTTAATTAATTTCGGATTTTTTTAATGTGTCTTATGTATGCAATTATTACGTTTTTTTATATAAATTAATATTTTTAAAAATGGTTAAAACCCCATTTTGGTCCCTCAATTATTGTACGAACCCCTGATTTGGTTCTTGAACTAAAAAAATCCCTGATTTGGTCCCGACCCCAATTTAGTCCTTCCGTTAAAAACTGGCTTACGTGGACCGTTACTTGACGGAAAAAAAGGTGACAATGTAAATACCTTGCCACATAGGATTGATAATGAAATAAATTATAAAAATAAAATTATTAAATGTTAAATTATAAACATAAAATTACATTTTTACCCCTTCTTCAACCACACATCACTTTCTTTCCTTCCTCCTTTCATTGCCCCTTTCTTCCCCCTTACTTTTCATCTCCAACCTCTTTCGTTGTTCATCTTCTTCCCTTGGATCCTTGTTTGCTGGCTTAGGTTTTAATCTTCTCCTTTCCTCATCTCCTCATCATCTCTTTCCTTTCATCATCTCCCATCTCCTCTTCGAAACCCAGCAAATCTGCTGGGTTGTCGAAAACCCAGCGATATGCTGGGTTCAATTACTCAAACCGAGCAGATCCGTTGGGTTCTTGACAACCCAGCAGATCCGCTGGGTTCAATTTCGATTAATCGTTGGGTTCTCGAGAACCCAGCGGATCTACTGGGTTTGATTTCCAACGATTTGCTAGGTTTGATTTTTTTTTTTTTAATATTTATGTTTAGAAGCTTGAATTTTAGGGATATTTTTGGGTTGCAGCTGATTGTTTTGCTAATGAATATTTTGTTTGTGTTGGCTGTTCTCATTGAGAATTTGGCAAAAATTGGTTGAGGGAAAAAATTTGCCCATATGGTTGCTTGTAATTATCGAACATCTGCTGGGTTCTTGAAAACCCAGCAAATCACTGGGTTCGATCAAGAACCCAGCAATCTGTTGGGTTCTCAAGAACCTAGTGATCTTCTGGGTTCGATTTCTTTCTTCTTCTTTTTTAAAATATTTATGTTTAGAAGCTTGAATTTTGGAAAAATATGCCTAGATATTTCTGAGTTTTTTTGGGGAGGTTGAAAGAAAGAATTTAGGGTGGTGATGGTCTGGGGAGATTCTAGATTTGTATTATTTTTTGGTTTAATGTTAGAAGCTGTTAGGGTTTGCAAAAGGCGAAAGGCAAGGAAGAAGACGAAAGAGAAAAAAGGAAAATCAAAGGAAGAAAAAAAAAAAAGGGAAAAAGAAATATTTTAAGGTTTTTTTTGCCATGTCATTGTTTTTTTTTGCCATATCATTGTTTTTTTGCCATGCTGTCATCTTTTTCCATTAGGTAATGGGACACGTAAGTCAATTTTTAACGGAAGGACTAAATCAGGGTCGAAATGGTAAATAGTAGGGACCAAATCAGGGATTTTTTTAGTTCAAGAACCAAATCGAGGGTTCGTACAATAGTTGAGGGACCAAAATGAGGTTTTAACCTAAAAAAATTTTTTTTTTTTTTTTTAAGAATAAGAGGAAGTGAGATGTTGCAAGGTTTCAAATCCTTACTCTCAATTTCCACATTTAAGTGTTTTGCTAATTGGTCT